GCAGTGGTGCTGGGGACCTGCAGCTTGGTCCAGCACCACCACTGCATCAACAAGGCACGATCCATATTCCTTACTGAAAAGTTAGCTCAAAATACCCATTTAATTGTGTTAATGACCCCTGTGGCAGGAAGGGACAAGGTTTCTGGAGGAGTTGGTGCCCCATTGCAATTCTCCGTTGCGGGGATGGCTGCTTGTAATGCTGGTGGAGCCAGAGAGGTGGTGGTGGTTGCTGTTCCCCCAGCCTCACATCCTCAACGATGGTTATTCCTGGCCAAGGAACAGTTTGGTTCCAAAGAGTTTGGTCATGACGAGTTCCAGCTCAGAAACCAGGTTTCTTGGCAAAGCCCAGGCCATGCTGGGCTCACCCTTGCCTGGCAGAGTTGGGCAGGAAGGTGGTTATTGACGGGGAGACCTGTGGGAGGGGCACCCCAACACCAGAGATGCTGTAGGGTGCAGCAGCTGACAAGCTTCAGCACTACTACGTCTTGCAAGGGAATTGCCCTCTGGATGATGAGAAAAACCCGTGTGAAAGGATGCAGGGATTCAGACAGCTCTGGGGTGGGGCAGCCCCTCCAGCAGCCCCAGCCCTGGTCCCCTGGACGCGGGTGCTGATGGGGGCTCCCCCCTTTTCTTTCCACCATGAAAAATTAGCCAAGGGTTTCTATGGTGGTTTTCATCATTTTCCAACCCTCCTTTCTGTTTTGATAGCGTTGCCCGTCTTGAGCTGCCACCAGAAGTTATCCTCCTATGCCTACGGCAGCTGACAAGCATCCCTCCTCGTTCTCCTGAGCATGTGAAACTGGGGGTGCTGGTGAGCCCCATGGGACCACGGGGGGCTGGAACCACACCTGTGGTGGGGAAGGAGATCAATCCCATGGGTCTGGGCAGATCCTGAAAGGCTGTGAGCACGACCCCTGCCTGCACAGGGAGGAGGGCAGCGTGGCCTTGCCAGAGGCCACCTCCACAAGGCAACTTGACTTGCCCTGTATGTTTTCCGTACGAGTCCCAAGCGATGCTTTTTAGCTGCCTTGGTGGGGGTGAGAAGATGCTCCAGCCCCACCTCCCACCACTGCCCAGGACCAGCCCCTGCCACCACCACGGTGACCCCGATCCCAGCATATGGGGTGCGAAGGAGCACATCCCTGTTACTGGACCCATCTTCCACAATCTTGTCTAATCCCAGGTTCGACTCAGGGTCCCGTGGCATCGAGCCCCTCAAGGGCCTTCTCTGCATCCCACAGCGCTCTTCAGTGGGGTCGGTGAGGATGCCCTCGCTCCACACTGGGGTCTTGGGTGTCCACTGACTTATGGGGATGGGACTTGGGTCTCTCCACCTTTATCTGGGAACTGGTCATACTCCATTCCCCAAAAACCGTCAATATAGTATCTCAAGGGAGAGAATTTGTATCATTACGGCTTTTACAGCCGTACACCCTCAACACCTTTACGGTTTGTTAAGAAACTTTCACTACATTTTTTACATGTATTTGTGGGGCCTTTCCTAAGCATCCTCTCCCTCCGGAGAGCCGCTGAGCGTGTCCCCGTTGGAAATGGCGATTACGGCAACAGGGATCTCGATTCAATCAACCAAGGCTGAGTATATAACAAGGAAAAGCAAACACACAAACTCTCCAATAAATGCATAAAGTTACTTTATTTTTCAGTATACATTTAATTTTGAAAAATATAAATGCTAAAATATCTCATCATCTTCATCTTTTGATTCCATAAAAGTCACAATAGAAAGCTTCATAAAATTGTAAAATACTATAATGTTATAAGGAATTTCATGTTTTATATTACTGGAAAAAAAAATCAGTTTAATATATTGAAATGTTTTCTGCCTCTTTTTTTCCTTTTTTTGTTCCACCATCTTGATCCACTTCATTTTATACTGTTTTTATTTTTTCCTCCAAAGCAAATACAGACTTGTGAGAATTAAAAACAATAATAAAAGTATCGGAAAGTGCGTGTTGATTCAAAAAACAAAAAAAGTACAACGACATATCGGCCCCGATGACAAACAAGCGTGGGTTGCAGAGGCAGGCGGCCACCACATTCCTGGGGCTGGGACAAAGCTGGCTGCAGCTGGGTGGCCATCACGGGGTCCCACCTCACGGTGGGCCCTGGCTTTCTTTTGCTCTGGGCAGTTAATTTCTTGACGGCCGCCTCTGATTTCGATCTCCGCCCCTACTCCCAGAAGCGCTCACCCTGGCTTTTCCAACAAAATGCCCAAATCTGACTGAAAAGCAGTTACATTTTCCAAGGTCTGTGCAGCGGAACGCTCCCTGCGATGCTCGCAGGCTCTTTTCCCTGCCCGCTGGTCCAGGTGCTGCAGAGCACTCGGTTGCTCTCTTCGTGCTGGGGTTTGCTCTGGTTTTTAAAGGAAAACCCAATGGAAGAGACACGAGGGCCAGCAAAGTGCTAGCGACCGGCACAAGGAAAGGAAACATTGCCAGCTCCTGTCCCTGGAATGGTGTGTTTTTCATGGAAAGCCGCAGAAACCTTTGTCCCATCCCTTCAAAACCGCTACCCTCTGCACAAGAGCTCCCCTGGGTTAAAATAAGAAATAAAAAACAGAGCGAGAAAGATCTAGATCAGCAGTCAATACATTTCAAGTACGTTTAACGCAGTCCGGAAGTGGAAGACCTCATTGTTGTGGAGACACATCACCAGGTGCCTGCGGATGGGGGGTGCGTGAGGGGGTGCAGCACCCTGCCCATGGAGCCTACTGGGAGCAGGAAAGCTGCTCCTCCGTGCATCTGGTTTGATCTTTCCTCTGTCAGTGACGGGAATTCCTACAAATCGAAGGTGCGGACAGAACACAACAAGCTCCCGCGTACACTGTACGTCATGCTCGAGTCCGTTTCCCCGCTGGGAGCCGGGGACTTGTGTTTGCCGAGGGATGGAAACCATTGTGCTTCCCAGGTTATCCGTCCTACAGCTCTCGGGGCCTGGCAGCCAAAGGGATCACAGAGCCGCTCCTCTTCCGGCTGCTTCCGACATCTCCCCAGCCTTTCCAAAGAGGGTTTCGGCAATCTGAGAGTCAACACACGTTTCGTGGAAGCCAAAACCAAGACCCTGGAGCACGAGCAGGGGAACGTAGGGGCACGTTGTACACGTGCGTGTGCTGCGTGGGCACCTCTGCAGCTCCGTCATCCTTCTGCAGCAACGGCCGCGTGCAGCAGGCCAAGCTCACACTGTCACGGTCCCTTATCAACTCACCCCCGAACCGAAGGGCGAACCAGCTGCTTCTGCTGCACATCCGGGAGAGAAAAGGATTGCCCCCCTCTGCACAATGCTGAAACGGCTACTACCAGTGAGCAGATGCTAAAATTTGGCATGTAAGGTCAGCACCATCACGAAATTCTCTTTACTTAACCAACACGGACTTCGGTGTCGCAAGGACATGAGCGGCAACAACATGCCTGTCCCCTGCGGCGGGATTTTTCTCCGTTGGGGGATTAGACCTTACAGCTGGGCTTTCTCTCTTTCTTTTTGCTTCCTGAAGCTTTTAGCGTGTTACACGTAGTCCTCGTGTTTCATCAAAAAAACCATCTCGGTGAAGCCCCATTTCCCAGAGGAATGTTTATGTACACACAGGAGTACACACGCAAACATGCTGCAGAGAGAAAAATCGTCTCTCTCCCGAGGTGATGTTTTCTCACCTGGTTTCAAACCAAACGCCTGGGTGTGCCCACGCCCAGCCTGCTTGGTGCCGATGCATCAGCGTGCACGGACAGACGGGTCTAGGACGGAGCAGTCGCGATCTCGGGTAAATCCCGCGGATGGTGGTAAACAGAGACGCGGGATGCTCGAGGCTGCGGGTGTTTGCAAAGCTGGAGAGCACAAACGTCGGGATGAACATCCCAGCAGGCCATCTTCAGCTGCCTTTCTCCTCCATCGCGCCCTCACCGCACCCAAAGCGCCCTGGGGTCTCCTCACGTAGACACGCACGCGCACCGGGGTTTCAACAGAAATGATTCAAACAACGCCGCGTTGGAAAGCAACAACATGAATACAGTCGGCATCTGTCCACCGACGCCAGCGGCCGGTCAGTAGATCGCTCACCGCTGTTACATTTAAGACTCCTTCTAGGTCACAAGAGATTGAAGTTACATCCCGTCTCCTTCATAGTAAAGTCAGATTACTTGTTAAAAAAAACCCAAAAAACCCTCAGTAAAACAGATGCTTCAGAGTAGGAGGTGTTAATCAAACTGATCCAACCCTATGCCATGTCCTGGAGATTGTGGTGTGGTGTTGTGGGTTTGTTGTTGTGGTTGTTTTTTTTTTTCTTTTTCTTTTTTTTTGTAAAAATCACATTATATATGGTACAATACATTTTTTACAGAAAGCCTGGCATCTAGAAATAAGAGGTAGAACTACTCATAACTATACGTTTCCTGCTGCAGGAAAAATTCATTTTTCTTTACAGTAATTAAAAAAGGTTAAAAAAATTGACACCAGAAAAAAAAAAGTCATAGGTTAGGCCCCCATAATTTAAACAAAATAATCTAGGAAAATAACACTCTTCCTTGTACCTGACGGATTAAGTCCATTAAAGTGTTTCTTTAAAAAAAATTGCATAGGAAAGGGACATTTCAAAACACGTGCTACAATGATGGCAATGGTTTGTCTGTGCTGGGAGTGAAGTACCTTTTCCTTTTCCTTCCTGTGTTAACTACAAGTACAGGCTTTAAGAGCAGGTTAGTCTCAGCAGCACTTTCCAGCATCTTCGAGCAGTGTAAGCAAGACATCAGATTAGCCTGGAGGTCGGTTTTGTTCTGCCGGACGACAAACAGACAAACCACCACGTTCACAACGAAAGCAACGCCAGTTCCTCTGACCCCTCCCGCGGGTAGGACAGGACAGCCTCAGCATTTCTGCCCTCTCCTTGCAAACGAGAGGGATGCGTGCACGTCGAAGCGACAGAGAAGGCAAACCGAGTCTTGGTCAGTGTGGGAACACAGGGTTGAGGGGGGATCAGAGAAGATCTGCAGGGGCAAGGGTGGAGGGGCAGCGTGGGATGTCTCATTTACCTATGCAGGTGGGGAGCAGAGAGCGTTTTAATATTTGGCTAGTGACAAAAAATTCCACAGAAGATTTAACAGACAGACAAATTACAAAGTAGTTTCTGTTCCCTTGCTCCTCCAGAAATAACCATTGTCTTCAGGCTCAAGTTCTATTCTAATTTGAGGCACAACTTTTACTGGAGTTCGTGGAGGGCTGCGAAGAAAAAGAAAGACAAGGTGAGTGTGGGGATTACCTCCAGGCTTCGCAGCCACTTCATGTGGTCTGCCGTGCTCAGGACGCCTGCTAGCACGGCTTCCCAGCGACCCAAACCTGGGAAAAGTAAAATAATCTACAACTTGCAAGAGAAAGCCAGCATTTTACAAACAAACCAGAGAGGCAACTGGCATAAACTGGGGAATATATCCCAGATCCTGGGACTTACTGGGATACCCCACAGCCAGTGTCACATGCAGGAATGGAACAAATGCTCGACTGCGGGTATCGGTTCCTTGCACTAGCTCATACAACACAGCTGTCTGAAACTGGCAGCACACAGATGCCTGATATAATAAAATACCCTGAGAGGCAGTTGCAGCTGGTCCTAAGATAAAGCCTGCACATCACACAAGACCATTTTAGTGGGCTGGTCTAAACACTGCTCATGTCAGTAGGACGAACCACCGTTTTCATCAAGTGAGGAGCTGCAGGTACCCCACACTTGTGCTTCACACCAAGCTGCGGCAACACTCATAAACCGCCTTTGAAATAATCTGTCTGCAGCCATGGAGAGGGATTTCACACACTCTCCGACGCCTGGTAGCTCTTTGACAGCTCAGAGGACCGTAGCTGCCTTGGTGGAGATGCCACTCCCGGCGCTGGGAGGTCCACGGTGGCCCCAGGAGGCTGAGCTGTGGCTGAGCTCTGAGAAATTGTTACTTCACACTTCCTTGCTGCAATTTAAGGTTATTCTTTACTCGATTTTCCATCACAGACAGAGGAAAATGGATTACTTCCTCCTTGCAACATCCTGTTACATGACTGAAGGAAAGCATAACAGCAATTTTCTCTCACTGCCTGTCTTCCTTTCTGGCTTTTTAAAGGCTAAGCAATCCCAATCCATTTAATTTTCCCCCTGCAGATCTGTTTTCTAGACTCCTTGCAGTTGCCCTGCATCTTTCTTCGGGTTTAGACACCCAAACTGCAGTTGGGGTGTAACCAAGGCAGCAGAGCCCCCAGGCCTCCCCATCCCAAGCACTGTAAGGCCGTGTTGGTAATCACCCTGGGATGCTGCAACCCCACGGAGGGAACTTTCTCAGTCTGTAAGAGTTTCCTACAGGGGGGCAGAAACTTTGCCTTGTTGACTTCTGGTATACCGAGGGTAGCTGGGGTGCTCTTGAGGCATCACTATGAAGCGCATCTTTCGGGTGCTTACCTTGGCATGGCGTGTGACTGAAGGAAAGGAATTGTATCAGCACGACGTATGGCGCTCAAGGAATGTTGGTGATTTTTCTCCTGTCGGGGAAGGAAAAAAATCTTGTTTGTCGCTGCCTGCGGCATTGATGGCTTCTCAAGCCCAGCCTCAGTTTCTCTAGTATACCCTCATCCCTTTGCCAGTGCTTTTTTACTGCTGACTGCCTGCCAGATGGATTTCACAGCTTGTAAATAAAAATACTCAATTTCTCTCTCTCTCCTCCAAGATAAAAATCCTTGAACACGACCAAGAGACTCCTTTCCCAAGACCTTCACCACCTTCAGGTCTTGACACTTACCTTTTATCTACACCTCCTTAGTTACCCTGTGCTCCTCGCTATCACACTCAAACTCCTTGTGAGGAGGCTTTCCTTTCCTGACCCAGCGTGGGGAAGTGCACTCTCTGCTCATAATGATCCTATTCTTGCTATTGCTGAAGGAAAGCTTATGTTAGCAGTAAAATTCATAATATACTCTGAATCGCAGAGCACAGTTGTATTCAAGGACAGCAGCACAGTGTTGCTGGATTACAGCTACTTTTTCTAGTCCAAGGGCCTGATTTTTTTATTTTTTTTTTTTTTATCCCTGGCGTTGTTTCTAAACAAAAAACAGCAAATAAATTCCTGGATTATAAAACTGTATGAATACGCAAACCAACTCCTGCTCAGCTCATGGGTGATTCACCCTGCGTTCTCTCAAAGGGCATCCTGACAAACAGGTTTGCGGCAGAGTTAACTTTTCCTTAACTATTTCAGCCTTAAAGATGTGGAAAACAGTGCAGCTGATCATAAAATCCTCCGTAACAACACTCAGGATGCAATTTGGTTTTAGCACATCAGGGCATTTTCACAGAAGAAGGAGGAGGATCTGTGTGGTTGTCTTAATCTGATTTTGCTCCTTTTCCTTATCAGTAAAACACTGAGAATATCTAAATAGTCAGGGAAATGTCTTTTTCTCTTTGGCTTTGCTTTATAACGCCAGTCCCTAAGTGTTCCTGTATCTAGAAAAGACAGAGCAATGCTTAGGATTGCCTAAGGTATCTAAATGCCTCCGAAAGGCAAGGGACTTGGGTACCACCTCTTCAACTCAAGTTAAGGATCTAAAGATCTCTGGATTTAGGTCCTGCTTGTAGAAATCACCAGCCTTGCAGCAGTACTAATTTATCACTATCATTCGTATTCCTCCCCTTCCACCTCATGACAAAACCGCACGCTTATCTCCAGATGGCACCCAGCGCTCGCAGGATTTTTAAAAGTCGGTGCAAAGGCAAAAAGCCAAGGTCAGCTGTCATTCCTGATTCCTCACTTAAAAGACTACAATAGGAAAAGCAAAACCGACTGAAAATGAAGCTCATCATAATCAATTACGGATATTAACGTAAGAAGCAGAAGAGCACAAAAGCACATCACCTAAGAAGGGAAATAGGTTAATGGTCAACTGATCACTGCCCGGTCAGATTAATGCGCAATGCGGACCAATGACACGTTTAATTACTCTTTTAGGCGCTGATTTTTGCAACTGCTTGGCACCTAAGGAAACAAACAGTAACAGGACAGCGATGCAGTTTAGCCATGCTGCGAGTCCAGAACACTAGGCTCAGAGGAAAAAAATAAATCAAACTTTCAGCGGAGTTCACACAAAACAAGAAGGGTCAGAAAAGAAAGGAGGAGAGCGTGAGTGGCCAAGAGACCTGGTTAGTAGCTGGATAAAAGCACTTAAGCTGGAGGCACCAGAAGGAACAACATCAATTTTGTAACGAGCAAAGGAAAAAGCTCACAAAACCAAAATCTGTCATAAATCAGAGGCCTGGAAATTAAAAAAGAGGGGAAGAAAAAAAAAAAAGAACAAGAAAAAGTACTTCTCAAGTAATAGGAAAGGTTTTTTTTAAAAAAAATCACTCTAAATATATATATATTGTTGTACTGCAAGTCAGAGTCAAGCAGGCATGCAAGAGGTTAGTTCTACTCACTGTCGGCAGGTTTGCTATCACTTAGGAAAGGTTCCTGCTCCATGATGTCCATTGGTATTTTAATACTTGGGACTTTTTCTGAGTAGGGGCAGTCAGACTGTGAAAGAAACGTGTAAAAGATCTTAGAATAGTTTCACTGCTCTCTCTCTTATTGTCTCCCACAAATTAAAATTATTCATCATAGAGTTTCTGTAGGAATGAGGAAGAGAAAAGAAGAAAAAAAAATAAAAAAGCATCGTCCAGCTGAGTCGCCTGCTGGTTTCCACCGGTTCCCAACTGCACCCCACCTTCCCTCTTCCTTCATGCTAGGAAAGTAAAACAGATTGAAAGAATAATCTTGTGTAATTGCTATCTTGCCCTTTCCCCACCTCACCAGCTCCTTTGCCACCAGCTTATAAAATACCGTCCAATTCACCTCGGAGTTGGCTGCAGGAAATACAGATGGAAAATGCATTCGTAGGCAGAAATAGTGGGCATTGGCTTCCGCGAAAGCTCATCAAAACATTTTATCCTGCTGTGATTTCTTTAAAATCCCTTTTTTCTTCCCAACTGCTCTATGAGGATGAGGGCCAGACAGGACGTGGCCGGACTGTGTCAACTCTCCCTTTTATTTAAGTCGAGTCAAACCCGGTCTCAATTACACCTCTATTTACAGTAAAACAGCTCATCAAATCCAGAGCCCTCGTAAGAATCCAGTACTCCCAGCCAAGCAGGAGAAATGTCAAACCAGTCAAGGGGAGGCACAAGTGCAGAGAAAAGCTGTCCCCGCTGAGTTTGGGTACCAGCATCATTTATACCCTACTGCTTTCAATAATCCACCTGCTTATCCTTAGCAGAAGGTACTTGGAATAATATCCCCCCCTTTTTTTTTTTTAAAATAAAAGTAACTTCTTGTAACCAAGGAAAAGCTGATATTGCATAACTTGGCAAAGGAAGCAAGGTGGTGTTTGCCAGAAACACTAACACATCTTTGTTCCTGGAGAGAACTAGACACAGCACCAAGCACAACGCCGGGGTGGAGGGAGACCTTCAAGTCAGGGCAGGAAAACATTACCGAGGCCAGAGGACTGCTATCCCTGGATTATTTTTTAACATAACTGATGTCCAGTGCAGTATTTCATACTCTGATAGCAAAATGCTTCCTCAGGAGTATTTTTACGAGGCCGAGGGATAAGTGTAGCTCAAATAAAGATGATTCCACAGAAAAGCACTGAGGCAATAAAGCCATCCCAAAATCCCCATCCATTTGGGGCCATGCTGAGCCATAAGAGCTGGGTAACTGCTCCAGCCACCACCGTTTCAGTGCTAAGAAACACATGTAAGAGGTCTTTGGAATGGCAATGCTGATGCTCAGGCTCTACTTTAAACTTCACCATCCAAATGAACAGAAAAATAGAGAAAGTACCTGCAGATGGCAAAAAATGCCCCAAAGGGCAGAAAAGACCATTATGCAGCACGGCCGACTGAAACTAAATCTACTAGCCCAAAATTTAAAAAAAATGTCTGGCCTTCCTTGGATCATGCGGTTTTGGACATAAAATCAGAGAGAAAAAACAAGGTACTTGAGTTTCCATTAGGCAAATTCAGCAATTTGTGGCACTAATTCATACTTTGTAAAGGCAAGCTGGAGGGAAAAATGGTGAGATGACTGAAAGTCTTTCTTTGAAGCTCCTTTTTTTCTGCCCCTGATCACTAGCAAAGCCCCAGTGAGAACTTGAGGTGAAGCCACTGATGCTGGGTTTTGCTGTACTCCCTCACCTAACACCTTTGGCATTAGCAGTGCCCAGCGACTCTCTTCGCTGAACTCTGATCTGCGTATTGCCCACCCAATCCCACAGGACTAAATTGGGGGGGGACATATTTCTGGAAGAGAAAGGGTGAAAATAATCAAACCAATAATGATTTACGTTCAGGAAGCTGGTAAAAGCAAGTGCTGAAAAAAAACCCAAACAACCAAGAAGAGTTAAGAACCAACATTTTTGCATAAATTCTCTTACCCATGAAATCAATTACTGTACCTGAAAATCATGAAAAGTCTGAGAAGAGAGGAGATAACTTAAAACATACTGGAGATACACAAGAGCCATGGCTCAGGATACAACGCTGCTGGATGCACACCAGTCAAGAGGAGGGGATGGAGTCCAACCTTTGCTGACTATCTGCTACGTAAAGTAGGGGGTTCTCTCTCATTTTGGTTTGCAAAAAGTCATCTGCTGAAGGAAACCCTCACCCTCAGCCTCCCAGGAACTGGAAGAATAGCAGGAAAGGGGTGGTTGCTGTCTGAAACAAGAGACAATCTTCCCAGCTAGGATCCAGCAGGCTGTGGGTCCAGGCTACTTCCTACAACACTGCACTCTCACCTAAGAGATTCCTAGTCTTGTCTCTGGCAGTACATATGCTCTACTCCAGAGAGAATATATTCTTTACAGAAAGGCCTTTGCATATCCTCTTGTCAGAACAGCCTGAGGTTGTTGCCTCTAACGCAGATCTCCAGAGGTATTATACAGCGCTCACATAAAGGACTCGGGTGCTAGCTTGTCCTCCACCAGGACCGAGGTTGACCTTTCTGTCCTTCCAACCTTGAGCCGGATCAGGCATTGGGATGGGCTGGGGGTCCCTGGAGCTGCTGTTTTCCTCTTGAAGACACCAGATGTATTATCTGACTCACAAGGAGGGCTGCTTTGGTAGATCTGCTCAGTACCAAAAGGATGCAGATGACACCCAGCAGAAACCCTCCAAACACACAGTGAGGCACAACAACCCTGCAGCACCCGTGTCCCTTGGGTGGCAGCGATGTCACCTTCAGGCTTTGCTGCAAGAAGCTCTCCTGGCAGACACACCGGCTCAGAGCTGCTTCTTGGGGAGGGGGTCGTTACTCACTTGGTATCAACTCAGGTGGCCAGGGAGCAGCGAACCAACTGATGCCCAGCAAAGGGCCAGCTGACTTTTCCTGCTGCCTGCCTCCTCCCAGAGTGCGATCCCTTCTCATTTGTTTCTCCTGCAGTGTTAAAATGGGATTTTTTTTTTTTCTCCCAGCTTCAGGTGGTCTTACCTCTGCCTGCATCACAGGAAAAGCCCCTCTTCATGAATCCTGGATGGTTACATAAGCAGAACAAGTGACAGTCTGCTCAGTATTCTCCATGCAGCCTAAAACTATTAAAGCCTAGCTCCCTTCTCACAGTAATGCTGACTGAGGCAGCCAGCTCTCCAAAGGCAGTTCACACTTACTATACAAAGTGCTACATAACCAGTGTGTTTAGCACTTCAATATAAATTTATAGAATCTGAGTTCATACTAGACCTGGGTAGGAGAGTGTTTAAAGGCATGAGGACCACATTTCTTCTATATACAGTAAAAAATAGAACAGTCTAAGGCACGTGGATCTGGTCTAGTCAGGTCATCGCACTTAGTAATGACATAAGCAGGTATGTTTCACTATTTTAGGGCATGCTGCAAACCTGAGGTAGGACCAAAGAGTACACTGCAGAAGGGCAGGCATGCTTTGAAAACATTTAGGTCATGAGTATTATCAACAGAAAGCAGTCTTTCCTGCAATATGACACATCACATCTTTCTGTGCTTCTAAGAAGTCATTAAGAAGTACCAAAAAAGAAAAACAGAATATATTCAGAAGTTAACAGAGGTGCTGGTGAAAACCATTGTCCTCCTAAAATGTAAAAGTCATTGATGGGGGAGAAAGGCAGAGGAGGAAAAGATGAACAAGGCAAGGTGATGAAAGGCATTCTAGCAAAGGGCATGACATCTCAGCAGGTATTTAGTGCTCTTCTGGAAAGTGTGATTTCATTCTTGGCAATGGAAGTACCACCTACCACAGGCTGGTGACATCTGGAAAAGGGAAAGCAATGAAGAAAAGAAGTTTTGTTTGGGGCTGACTTGCTGCAGCACCAACAGACTGAGCTGGTTGGCTTCAAAAGAGGCTGGGCAGTCCCCAGCCCCAGAGCTGGGGAGGTGCACGGACTGTCCCCTAGGATTAGCTAGCTAGAAATGAGTAATTTGACAAGAGCAGAAAGCTCCTTACATCATCATTGTCACTGTCCATACTGCCCTTCTTCTTTTTCTTCTTCTTCTCATCCTCTTTCTTTTTCTTGTCCTTTTCTGGAATGACGTCATCAAGAAAGCTTAAGTCATGCTGGGAGAAGAGGTAGTCCATGGCTTTTCTGACTGCTACAAGTGCCAGGATCTGAAAAGGCAGAGAGGGACTTCTCAGTCACATTTTACCTTTAATTGGGAACACCCTGTGTGCTGGGTTCAGCACACCCTGTGCATTCCTCTCAATGCTGCTTCTTAATCACACACACTTTAATTCTGGTTGCAAATGAACATACAGAGAACAAGGTGAACCCCTGGGATATCTCTATCAACTTGAAAGTGTGAACTGTGACTGCTTCCTGTCAGAATAAACAGGAGCAACGTACAGGAAGAAGCATGTAATCACTTAATAGTCCTGTAGAGATAAAGATCATCTTTAACATCCAACTGACAGGCATCAGGCAAAAGGATAAAGAGAAAACCCAAGTATTTTTATCTATTTTTGTGTTCAGCCTCCATATGCAGGTTCACAGGGGCAGCCTGAGCAATCACCTTTACCTTTTTTCTTACCACTTCCCCAGATGTAAGAACTCTAAAAATTAGACATGGGCCAAACCATGCCCTCAGAGTTTGCAGCATGAAGTTTACTAGGCTTGTGGCTGCAAGAAACTGGAGGAAAAGCTTTCTCTGTGCAAGACTGCAATCAAAGGCACTGGGGGGGGGAAAAGAAGGGACACGTGTTTGCATCGACACTGGTTTAACATCACCACCAGATGCCTACCAAGATCACATATGTGCTTTACCAAAGGGTACAGCAACAGACTGAAAGCTCGACTTGGCTACTAAAAGATACGACCCATTCCCGACAACCGAAGGCTGCTTTCATGATGAAGAGTTTGTTCCCAACAGTGATAAACAACGACACAATTTCTAGGAAAGGATCGCAAGCTTTGACTTGCGTAACTTAAGACGCAATTACAGAAGTGAGAAATTACTCAGGGGGTGGAAAGATGCCATGTAGACACCCATCATTATCCCATGATGTATTACTTCTGTGTTAAACGTGCTTTTCCTTCAAGTAAACAGGTTTGCCTGTTGGCCGGATCTTCACAAACTGGAAATGTACAGTCTTTTTGCTCATAAGTGCAACTAATTGAGGTTTTGTCATCGGATCCAGCTACATCTAAGCTGTGACTGTACCTTCACTGGGTTTGCACCATTGTAACATATTACAGCAGACTTAGGGTTCGCTCAGATTCTCTCTATTATGGGCAAAGAGTGCCCAGCTCTTCGATTCAGCTTTCAACACAGCCACGAAAATGCAATGGAACAGCATGTCAGTGGGAACGGCTGAGTGTTAACGCCTTTATATGTGAGCGTGTGTCCCAGCAAGAACAGTTTGAGGTTTTTTTCACTTGCATCATCTTGTCTCTTCTCATTCCACCAGCATCAGAGAACAAATGCTTGCCCTTGCTCCGTTTTCTGCTTTCCCTCCTTCTCTCCCTTAAATAAGCGCTGCAGTTCGTAACTGCACCTGCAGCTTAAACTTTACTTGTCCATAAACCTGAAACTAGGTGACACTGAGCCCAGATTTCTTAAGGGAGTTTCATGAAGCTTTGGCTTTGCAGCGGTCTGACCCATCTCCAAGCCAGCCTTGGCAGAATCCCTGCGTGCAGCTATGGACCCCTTGGCTCCACACTCGATCTATTTGGCCCGACGGCCGTGCTGAGCTACAGGTCAGGCACGGAAGGGAGAAGGATCTACTCCCTGCTCCCTTGTTTAGGAGGATGGTCACAGGTTTCAATGCCTGAAGCAAAGTGCACATATGAAGTCCCCTTAACCCTTGCTTGGTTTTTATTTGGTGTAAGTGCCTTATTGTGTCTGTAGCACCAGTAATAATCTAAACAGAAAGCTGTTGCACTAATCCCCTTCCTTGATGCAGAAATACAGTGTCAGGCTGCCTGCAGAATGTATATTTAAGAAACAGTTCTTCTGTGTGATGAATGCTTTATCTCTCAACATCCAAAATAAGTTTTAAGGAGACTCTGATATGCATTATCAGAAAGAGGACACGCATCCTACAAGCTTTCACATCTGAGGATGATATGTAACACATGAATCAACCTTATTGTCTTTTTACCCAAATTCAAGGAAAAAGACATTCTTTTTTTTTCCTCTTGATTTAGCTAATCGCTTCCCTCCATTTGGCACAACTCTTACCAGCGAGCCTCCCTCTTGGTTTTGTCAGTTTGTGCTATTTAAAAGCAAGGGAGATATTTTCTGCGTGGTAATTAGCGTGAACTAAAAAAAGAAAACTACGCACCTCTCATTCATTCATGCAGCTCAAGGAGAAAATCTAACCTTGGCAGCCAGGAAGGGTCAAAACTAACTACACCTTTCTGGAAAAAAATTAACTTTCCAGGCTCATTTTCCTCCAGAGGATTCATGTAAAGGCAGTCACGACAACACTGACCACGAGCAGTCTTACATCAATGCTGTGAATGAAGACATCCCAGACAGGGATTTGACAGGGAGGCGTTGGATTTGCCTGTTTATGGGAGGGTGTGACCACGTGTGGAGGGGGCCGGCTGTGAAGAACGTCACCTACCATGACAGGGAATATGATAGCAGCCACGGTGGACTTGAGGATCCAGAGGAGAGCCAGGCACACCACCTGCAGGAAGGTGAACAGATGGACCCTGCGCAGCGGGACGTGGCGCAGGTAGATAAAGTCAGGCTGGTGTTTTAGAGGCATCAAGAGCAGCTTCAGACGATCCATGAACTGGAAAGGAAAAGAAACGGACATTTAAATGAAACCCAGGATGCACAAAAACGAGACATGAAAGCATTGTTCCACTATGACCTTGAATCGACTTGCTTTCCCTCCATAAAAGAAACCCAGCAGAAAACCCAGCACAGCTCCTCTATCCTGACCGACTTGTGCTTAACGCTAGGTGGGCTAAACATGTTAACTCATTTGTCTCAAGGGAAGGTTTAAGGTCTACACTGTATTTGGCAACGAAACAGAGACACAAAAGCAAAGCATGTCTCAAAGCAAGGCCTTGAGGTGCCTTTATTTTAAGGTGCAGGACTCCATGTGCTCTGGTGATTAGTGTGTAAACCAAGGAATGAAATGTAGGAACGTAGGTGGAAATTCCTCCACAGGCTTCAAAAGAATGGACCTCATCCGCTGCAGCTGTGGACACAAGGAATTTTCTTTGGAAGGGAGCGCTTCATTACTCATAAAACAGAGAAAACAAGATGAAAACCCAAACTACAGTCAGCATCAAACTGTGTCACTCCAGCCACCCTCCCCTGCCCTGCTCCTGCCAAGGAAAGAAAGGAAGGACATTCAGCATTTAAAAGCAATGCTGATTCTTCCAAATAAATTGGGAGCAGAGATCAGTGAGGGCAGATGTCACGCTACTAGAGAACAGAAAGGCACCTAACCAAAGAAAGAGGAAGACGGGCAGCTATTCCAGCAGTGTCCCTTGCCCCATGCTGGACCGGATGGACTTGGAGTTAAAACAAAATCGGAACTTCTCATCGAGTGAAAAACATCCTTGATGAGGGAAAAACAAGCTGCCCAGTGCCCTGACCACCTGGGCTGGGAAGCAGGGGAAATCCCCTCTAGGAGAACCAAGTCCAGGGCAAGCGTTACAATCCCCTCCTTGTCCTATGCCTGAACACAGCTTGCTGCCTGCTGCTGAGACCAGATTGATCTCACACCAGTGAATGAAAGCCAGGGCCGTTTTAAAGAATACCCAAGGAAATTCTCATGGTGCTCACAGAACAGGCAGTCTTTTCCCACTAGAGCACAACCAAGAGCTAAAAAGAAAGGCCACAATTAATAGTGCCAGAAAGCAACAAAACCACTTCCAGCTTCCTAGGGCCAATAACGGACACCGCACTGTGAGAAAGGCTCCTTACGTAATGTTTCCTCAATGGCAAAGAAAGGGGCTTGGCTTCCCCTCCCCGGCAAACGGCAATGTCCCTGCTTGTTAACATTGCCGAATAACCCCGCCGCCATAAATCATCTTCCTTTGTTTTCCTTCAGCCTGTGACAGATGCCCTGGCAGAGGAGCCGAGCCATTCTGGGAGTGAGCCGGGGGCCCCTGCAAGTGCACACTGTCCTCAGCATCGCTGAGCTGGAGTGGGGAGAAGAGGGACTCTGGGTCTTCACAAAGCACCCCCATTGCTTGCAGGGCCCAGATCTGGCTGCTCTCCTGCTGAGCAGATCATAGAATCACAGAATGGTCTGGGTTGGAAGGGACCTTAAAGACCATCTAGTTCCAACCCCCCTGCCATGGGCAGGGACACCTTCCACTAGACCAGGTTGCTCAAAGCCTCATCCAGCCTGGCCTTGAACACTTCCAGGGATGGGGCATCCACGGCTTCTCTGGGCAACCTGTTCCAGTGCCTCACCACCCTCGCCAGGAAGAACTTCTTCCTGATATCCAATCTAAATCTCCCCACTTTCAATTTAAACCCGTTACCCCTTGTCCTGTCACTACAGGCCCTTGTAAAAAGTCCCCCCCAGCTTCCTTGTAGCCCCTTCAGGCACTGGAAGGTGCTATCAGGTCTCCCCGGAGCCTTCTCTTCTCCCGGCTGAACTCTTCTCCAACTCTCCCAGCCTGTCCCCATAGCAGAGGGGCTCCAGCCCCTCTGGTCTCAGTGTCAGGAGAGCCAGCCTGTGGCAATGTTTGTAAACAGTTCCTACCCTCCCTGGGTTTCCTGGGAAGGAAAAGGAGGTGCCAAAGGAGAAGGGAAAGGCTTTAGGGTTGTGAAAGGAACCCTGTGCTGGTTAATGATTGCCATCTTTTGGAAGAGGCATGGTGGGGAGTCTGCTCCCGGCCGTTGGAGGGGCTCACCTGCACGCCGTTGAGGGACGCAACACCCATGTAGAGGAAGACGCCGTAGAGCACAGGCATGGGAATGAACTGCGGGGAAGAGCAGAAGAAACAGGGTGAACAACCTCCCCATTCACAATGCAGCGTTAACACATGGGGGGACAGAATTCCCAGCCCGAGATCAACTCAAATTGCCCCTTGGAATGGACAATGCAGAGTAATAAAGCTAGCAGTCCTGCTGTGCTCTGAGAGCTGTGGTAACATCTGTGAAGCCACTGGAGGGTTGAGGAGCAGCGCACGGGCTGAACGAGCCCTGGGCTCTCCCACTTCACTGGGACTTGGATGTCTCTCCAAGAACCAAAGGGAACGAAGCCAGCCAGTGCCAGTCAGTCAGCAAGTTAAAGAGATGCGGTGTTCCAGTAAGCTTCCAACTGCTTTTCACCTCTTGGTTTCTGGCAAGACTGAAAGCAGAGGGTAGAAAAGAAGCAAAGACAGCTTGATCCTGTGGTATGTCTGGCTTAGTAAGCCATGGAAATCCTTTCAGAAAGGCTCTTCTCTGGAGTCCCACCTCAATCATGCCAGCCAAATCTCTGACTGCTCCGTCCTTCACTCACATGAATCCATAAATATTCACAAATACAGGGCCATGAGTTACTTTCTTCACTGCCAGAACTGTCCTTACAAACACCAGTTTCGGCTTCCCCAAGTGTTAAGTGCCCCCCATTGCCCCACTGCTGGTCCTGCCATCGGGGACATCTTCCTTTGGAAGTGAGGAAGGCGCATGGTAACACCTTCCACGCTCCCCAGAAGGAGCATCTTCAGAAGCAACCTGAAGCACAAGGCTTTCCTCAATGGCAAAAGCCGCTGCACGACTGCCAAGAGGGGGAAGCGCTCCTCGGCCCCACCACAGAACTGCATGGCCAGCGCGTCGTGACGTGAATGGGAACGCTTGGGCACTAACCACACGCAGGAGCTGAGTAATGGCTTTTGTGGGACTGACTGGAACGTCGGAAGGTCGGGAAGAGCTGCCGTCGCTGAAGGAAAGCCTTTGTGCAGTCACTGAATGGCAGCCACAGCCCAAGGCTCCCACCCAACCCGTGGCCAGCACCGCTGCCATAGGGACGCTTTATCTTCCAACCTGGCACTGAAGTTATTCAGCATTTTATCGCGTTCCCCACCGCATTATTAATCGTTTACTGGGTCAGAAACACAGTGCCACGCACATAGCCCAGAGGCCTTGATCCCCAGTGCGTGCAGTTCACTTGGGCACGTGATTAGCAAAGGTACCAGGCTGCGTGCCATCCCAGACCAAAGCTTCCCTGCCTACACTTTCCCCTTCCCTCCCCTGAGCCTGATTCCCTATCACCTCCTGTGAGCTTCTTGATTGCTCATTCATCCTTCTACTGGATTTATTTGCCTCCTTGAGTGAGCTGTGTTGATATTTCACATTAAAAGCCATTTTTTTTTTCTGCAGCCTGAGTTTGTGTCTTCCATCACTGTGTGCCGTTGCAGGGAGGGATGGGGAGCCAGTGTGTGGTTCACACAGTTGTGGGTGTCCAAGGGATTCAAAGTCCTCGCTGGATCTGAGGCATTAGACGAGACAAGGTAATATCTTCTCCGGCAAGTTGGGTAGGGGGCTTTCAGAGTTTTACTTTCTTGTTCATTTATATGGCTGTCTTTCTATCCCCTTCTGTTTCTTTTTGTTCTTCAAGAAACAGAAAAATTTCCAAATATTATTTCACCATTCCACAATAGTTAGTCCTGTAAATCATCCCTAGGTGAAACTTCAGTACATTATCCTGCAGAGTAGCAAGCGACGTTTCCATTTTGGAAGTCTTTCTTTTGGCAAAGTATTCACTAACGACGGGGTTGCTGGCTTAGGGACTCCGAGCAAACCTGCTGCTAGCCAACAGAATTAAAAAATGTATTTATAGGAAAGTGACTGTCATTCTCCTAGCAGGGCTGAGGATGTTTCTGTGGAGATCTGCCATAACTGAGCAGAAACATCACTGACATTCAAAACCAGTGCAAACACTGCAAAACCCACAAAGAACAAAGATGAAATTATTCTGTGGATTGCCTGTTTTACTGAATTTGGGATCATTAGTGTTCAATTAGCTGCTGGCATGAGAAGACTTAAATATTCTGCAATGCATTTAGCAAAGCAGTTCTCGAGCAGGAGACCCTGCCACTGGAGTTTGTTAAAGGTCCTGAAATGCTGCCAGGTACTTCTCGCTGGCACGTGGGTGAGGAGCGTGCCGGTTTATCCTCAGGCGTCCTCCCGCGAGGATCTTCCCCATACGCCTTCTTAGGGGAAGCACAGACAAATAATTAATGAATGAAGCAATAACAGAGGAAATAATAGACCCCAGTGGAATAGAGGAAGAGAGATCTTGCAGGGAAAGGTCACATGAACTAACAAACACAATTATTACAACCAGGCATTAAATCAAGGGCACGGAAATGCCTGTTTGCGCAGAGGAGGAAACTGTTACCAAGGCACAAAAGAATTGCTAGTTGTAAAAACAACCTTAGAAATCAAGAATAGGAACACACTGACTTTGTAAAGCGACTTTCTCCACTATACACAGGCAGCATCATTGCTCTCTGCCTGCCTCCTCCCCTTCAGGTTCACATCTAACTGTGCCTCACAGCCCCCGTGGCTTCCAACCTCCTCATGATCAAAAACTCATTTGCCTCCTCCAGAAACGCTTCCCCGGACACCTGTCTGCTCTGTCCTGCAGTTACGATGCCTGGTGCCACTGTTTCGGTGCGTATGTTACTGACATCTTCTGCTGACAGCATCGGTGTACGGGTCCGTGGAGATGGACTTCTGCAGCTGACATCTCCTGCTGTACAGTATGCCTGCACGTGGCGCCACTTAAATCATCATCCCCGGAGAAGGCAGCATCCTCATCAAGACATCGATAAGCAGCTTTTCCAGTTTCGTTCTACAATCTCATGTTCCTCTAAGGATGCATTTCTCTGTGGCTACGTGCCAACAGATTTCAGGTCTTGGAAAATAGCTACCTCCCGAGATTAACTGGTACATCAGCAGCACATCTGTCCAGAGCCTTGGCTAAACTCATGAGAAAAACATTCAGGAGATTAAGAAATCACATTCAATTGCACTGCTTCCCCAAGAAACACGTTTTCCATACTGCTGAGCTGGGTGTCACTTCTGAGCAACAAGGGATGTGCTATTTTAAGAGGATCCAGCCTAAAAGGGTGAAAATGTGATTGTTGTGCTGTTTTTTTAATAAATAGCCAGGCAAGCTGAAGGAGCCTTGCACTGCTGAGGCGTGTGCCTTGGCAGCTCTACCAGGCAGGTACAGCTCCACTACGGCAGTGACAATGGTCCCAAAATTTTTGGTCAGCTGTACCCATGGACTTATATCATCAGCCATAGGCTCTGCTCATTGCCACCAGATCTGCATGTTCTCCCTTATCAAAAAACCCCGTCTCAGTGGGCCGTGTACACAGCTTCTGAGTAAGCACCAAATGAGGATTTTCTTCAGGTATATGTGTTAGGATGTACGCACAGTCAAATAAATGCAAATATACTTTTAAAACGACATATCCATCTGTTAACCTGTGTATTCCACACAGCAGCTCTACTGCATTGCCAACCATCCTTCCATCATGCCACCAGTAGGCTCTCAAGCTTTATCTGCAATGCATTTTCCATACCACACAGCAGAAGCGTAAGAGTGCAAAATAAAAGGAAACTGCGCTTTATGCAAACGTGGAAGAAAAAAATCTTAAAATGAAAAAAAATCACAGCCCCCAAGACCACCGGCCCAGAACGCTGTCGCTATTACTACCTAGTGCACTACAACGATGTCCCTTTTCCTTCCAAAAAGTTTGTATTTAAGCTTCCAGAAAATTGTAAAACTGCATCTCACTAATCTCCTTTTCCACACTTCAGTGATGAGCTTTATTAGCAGCTTAAAAATAGCCTGACAGTTGCTGTGCGAGCAGAAGGAAGCAGAAAAGGTGATGTCCTTACCTTTAGGATGGGAGCCATAAAGACAGACACACCAGTCAGAATGAAAACAATGACTCCAGTGACTCTCTGCTCCCTGAAACAACAGCAGGATAGCTTCAGCATTCACTCTGGTTTTATTCCCCTTCGGAGTACTCAAAACCAACATAAAGCCCGAAAACCTGTTTTTGCAGCCACTTTTTCAAAGCAGACTGGCAACTCCAAACCAACAGCATCGTACACCTCTTTTTTTCAAACACCACATCAGTTTTTGCATGCTGCCGTAGCTCTGCTGTTTGTGGATCAACAGAATACTGCTACTGCGTAAGGAGGACTGTGTTTACATGTTAAACATTAGAAACTGTTAACTAGCAATCCAAATTCTCTGCACAGCAGTATTTATAGCAGGCAAAGAGGTAATAAATCATTCGCTCTCCACTCATAGATTAGTAGCATATTTTGAGTCCTGGTCATAGTACTCCAGCTGCTGGGTAAATGGTCCAGGTCTCTGTGGGGTGCTGCATACGTGCCTTCATCGGCACCCACAGCCACGCCCTACATCCAAAAATACTTTTGCTGGTCATATTTCAGCGTACTCAAAAGTTAGGCCATTACACTTCTATTTAGTCACCTGAACAAGTGGCCTGATTTCCAGGAGTACTGATATTGACGGCACCTCAGACCACTTAATTAAGGCAACTAAATACAGAAAAAAATTACCTGATAAGTAGAGCTGATTGCTCTAGGCATGACAGATTTACATTTTTTACTGTTATGTTTGCTAATGAATGCCTGTCTAATTTCCATGGACAAAAAAATCTGCAGTAAATTCATCTCCTTTCTCAAACACTGGAAAACCGCATCTGATCTGGCCCAATAAAATTTTGAGGAGTTACACAGGGATTTGCCCAAGGAACTCCCAGAGACCTGTGCTGTTGAACCTCACAGCCAGGTTTGGAAATACGAAGAAAGCAGCGCGAAATTCTTCATGACAACTTTGCAGTGTCCCATGGGCACCAGAGCCTGCTCTGTAAGTCTTGTGTATTTTGGGGTGACTTCAACATCCATGCCCAAAGCAGACCAAGAAATGGTCTAAGCTCCAGCACGAAGTTTCCTTTCTTCCCTCCCTTTGCTCCCACACATCTGCACTGGCTCTCCCCCACCTACAGGCACGCACATAGTACAGCGGTTTTCTTCCTTTGCAAGAAAGACTATTTGCACAAGGGCTACGCCAGATAAACTTCTAATGGGATATATCCTCTGCCGTCAAAAAAATCTGTAAGCAAGCACAACTGATCTGACTTACAGGAGATCTAAGAGCTATTCCCCCTAAACCTCCATGTACCCTGCTGGAAACAAGACCGTTTATAGTACAAACTGACCTTTGCAGGCAAATGAGGCAATTAAGGCCTTTCTGCTTTGACATACCTCACTCCCAAAAACTTGGGCTGTTCTCCAGGGGCTGAAGTTTCCGTCTCCATCTTCAAGCTGTCAATATGAGCAATGGAGATCACGGTAGCAGCAACATACCAGGGCAGGCCCATGAAGGAGCATACGATCATCAGAATGGCCACCCAGAACAAATCCAGATGATACCCAGCACCTTTCTGTGAAGGGAGACGGACAACCTTCAGCTTAATTAAACACCTATGGACTGGACCAGGCTCTGGCCCAGGAGCAGAGGCACACCAAACAAGCAGCATTTCCTTCTACAGCATCTTCTGACCAACAGATATTATCGTATGAAATAGCAGAGTAGGAGACGTTGCTCCTTAAAGGATGAACTACCTGCCTCCGCAGGGGAAACAGATAAGTGCTACAGTTCTGGCAAGCTCTGAAAACAACAGGATAGAGCAAGCACAGGAGAGCAGCAGGCTTGCGAGCAGTCTGGCAAAAGGCAGGCACCGTGGCACGCTATATAGTGCTTGGGGGTTGAGCTGGTACAGGTCAAGCCTGGTGAACGGTCAAGTAGCTCTTAACAGATGGACGTGACACAGCAAGCTGTGAGTTAAAGACAATCAGAGAGCTCCACCTTCACCAAAAAGTATTTTGTGAGATACACATTATATCCTGTACACAGTATAAGCAAGCGCTCTCTATATATATATTTTAATATATACACACATATCTCTATCTTGGTTACGATGGGTTTATGGTGTTCTGGAGGAGCTCTGCACTGCCTCTTAAAGACCAGAAATGAAACCCATTACAAAGTGCTATTTTTATAATGGTATGGTCCCATTTTTTAAATGAGGTAATGCAGTGACAAAGAAACCCAACAGCGAGCACCACAGGACCCCCTCACTGCTCCCCGCAGCGTGTGCAGAAACTCGACGGCCCCTTTTCCCAGCAAGACAGTTTGGAGAGGGCGAGCAGATGGAAGGCCGTCTGCAGAGCAGGAGAGCGGCTTGCCACCCTGCCAGCCGTCTGTCCTACTGCTCTGCTACGAGGGCACAGCACGCCTTTCGGCGTGGTGGGAGGTCAAGGTCAGTACCTTTGTGCACCAAGGCATCTTGGGTCTGTGCAAGTGACAGCCTGGACGTGCACAGAGCTTTAAACACTCAACCCGCCCTTTAAAACCAGCCCCACGCCTAATTTTAGTTTTAAGCAGCTGTAGGAAAATGACTGTCAGTGCAATGGCTTAATGAAGTCTACCTGAAAGCAATTTTGCAGAAACACGGTGCCTGTCTAAAGGTAACATCTGCCCTCTGCTGTCCCAGTCCTGTATTTAGGATAGGAAGCAACTGTGGGATCTCAGAATCGGGACTTCACAAGTGGTCTGAGCCGGGCTGATCGTGCCTGGTGCTGGAGGCATCATCTGCAACACCCAGCTTGGGGAAAGCAACAAAAGCAGATGATGGGCTTATACCCTATCAAAAGAAGAGAGCTGCCCTCGTTCTTTACCTCTTTTTAAAGACCTCTAATCCTCTATTTTAAAAATCTTTTCATGAACTAACACTGGAAATCCACCAGTCACAAATGCCAAGAGAAGTGAAGAAACAAGAGCCACCAAAGAAAGGGATCTTCAGAAAAACACTAGACAAACCTCTAAGTTTTGCTATTTTAAAGAAGATTAACATTTTTTTAAACCTGTTCAAGTTGATTTTATTGGAAAGGACAAATGATTCGGACAAATGACCCCAGGAGGGGTCACCAAGCAGCCTAGCTCGTCTTCAATATCCTCATTGTTTCCTCACACGTGCACTGCTTACCTTGGCTGTGTAGCAGCACTGGAACAGGCACTCAATGACACCTTGCCAGTACTTCAGCAAGCCACTGGCAGAAAAAAAAAACCATCCTTCTTTTGGCCCACAGCATATTTCATGTACAGAGGTGTTTTTTAGTGCAGAGTAGCTGGATTGGACTTGAGAACCCCCAGTTAAACAAAAGAATGTGCTCACAACCGTAACAAAGGAAGCAGGAAATAAATTTTTATATTAAACAGCACTTTGCTGGAGTGTTTATACTTTGTTACTAAAAAAGCACACCCAGTGTTGATAGCATAACCATGTTCAGTGCCTATAAGCTGAAAAGATGAGGGGCCTCATCTTCATGGGGGAAGAACAATGAATATGTTCTTCCAGTGATTAAAAAAAATGATGTCTGCATAGTTAGGTGCAGGGGAGAGACCTACAACTGAGACCATGACAATGACTGGCCTTCCCCCGAGGAAGATATGGGCACAGTTTTGAATACATCTGCCCAGATCCAGATGGAAAAAAGCAAGGTTGTGAGGTTTAGGGTTTTTTTAAACCAGCCTCCTAAGACCATCAGCCAGCACTCATCGCTACGCACAACAAACCCTCCCCATTCCCTGTTACTCTTGACTCTCTCCTCCAAGTCAGGCTCAGGATGGTCTTAAATCACACATCGGTTGTCTAACGTCCACAGTGATCATATGAATTGAAACATCTTCCTCTTTTTCAAGTAAAAGCTCCAGTTACATTTCCAGCAGCTCTCAATATAACCGACAAAGCAGATATCTAAACAATGACCCAGCGTTACCCATGTTTTGAGGGAGTCTTTAGCGGGTTAGACCACTTGAAACGTGTCCTGTTAGCAGGAAGGGAGAGTCTTCTTTTACAGGAATTTAATATTTTTCAATAGAACTGGCCATGCAGGGAAAGGAAAAACCCTGCAGGCATGAAAAACTGCATAGTGTCGGTCTGGAAAGTTTATTTTAAAAACATCCTAGGCTTTTACATGTCAGCGGATATAAAGCTCTTCTTTAAATAACATCCAACTGTGGCTATGCCCTTGGTATGTCCCAGATCTCTCCAGCTTACTGCTTGTACTTTGCCACACTGTACAACCAACAGAGCTGCCATACTTGGGCCATCTCTGGCCATACTCACCACAGGTAGGGTCCTGCGATCGTCGCGCCACCCAAAACCTCACTGACATGCCATACCCACTGAGGGGTGGCTGTGACACAGAGAGACCATGCTCTGCCGATGGCTGGGAACATCTGCCAGCGATTGTCTCACATGACAAACACAGTAATAGGGGCTTGTCAGATCCAGAGAAACTTTGTCCGTTATGATAAGGTGACAGAGGGTTTGGCTTGGATGCTATAACGGAGTGCTCTGCAAATCAGGTCCCAGCTCAGGTTAAAGAAGAGCTCCTGAGCAAGGAGACTCCTCCAAGCTCACAACCCCTCCCCACCGCAAGCCTGAGCTCCCAAAAATGGGCACTCTCTGCAGATCCGTGCATGACCTGGTAGACCCACTCTGGACAGCCTAGTTTTCCTTTCCATGCTGCTGCATCCAATTCATAAAGTATCCCCTTACAGTCCATGACAGAAGTGCAGGAAGAAAGCTGACCATAATCACAAAGCAACTTCCTCCCCTTAAAAACAGCAGCAGATGACAGGGAACAGGCCCGTGTCTTTGAGGGAGGAAGGCGACAGGAGGAAAATTAGATGTTGAGTCATTTGATGCTAGAGGAGAGGTTTGAGTGAGCTGGACATGAGTCTGGGACTAGTTCCTCTAGACAACTAGAGCCTGTGAAGTGACTGGCCATTCCAAGCACCAGCACTAACAACACCGTGCATTTGTACACTCCAGTGAGTGATCATATCCTTCTGCTGGCCCAAATCACCTTCTTGAATGCCTTCTTGAAAAAAATGCCAGAAAGAAGGTCTGCCAGACATCCTCACTGCACGGCATGCTGTCCTTCCTAGGTGTTTTTAACAGCAGACCTGGGGACTGGTTTTAAAGGAATGAACAGTTTGGGCCAGGCTGGATGAGGCTTGGAGCAACCTGGTCTAGTGGAAGGTGTCCCTGCCCATGGCAGGGGGGTTGGAACTGGATGGTCTTTAAGGTCCCTTCCAACCCAAACCATTCTGCGGTTCTATGACTCTATGATATTAGCTGGGCATAGTGGACAGCATGTGTTTACCCTACACAAGACAATATCAGGAATGACAGACATCAACCAGTTTCCGACTGTGTCTAATTTAATGATTTCCTATCTCCTGCTGGAAAAGCAAAGCACGACAGACGGGCATGTAAAGCAGACAAAGATATAACTTCATGTTTGTGGATAGATGCTCACTCTATTTCCTTTTCTACTTCTTCAAATGGCAGTGTCTTGCAGAATTAGCAAAGCAAATGCCACCTCTGGGGTCAGGGTTAGTAGATTCTAAAATGAACTTAATCCAACCCCCTACTAAGGTAGACAGAACTATTACCACGAAGAAAATGGCAGGGGCAGCAAGGTTATTAAGGCAGCTGGATGTTGTTTACATCAGTATTCTCTACAAGACAAACTTTGATTAGCCTATACTCAGAAGTTTCCTTTGCCATTCTCCAGTGTTTACAGTTGGAGAGTGAAGTTCTGGCAAAGAAAGATCAAAATACTGTAAAGATTTTAAGAAACATTTTGGTTTTATGCTGACATGAAAAGGGGTTTTAAACAGAAGTTGTGCATCTCAAAGGAAGGCTGCTCTAATTTCTTCCTGCTCTAGCCATGTTGCTGCCAGATGAGCAGTGGGTAGGATGTGATGGGTCTAAGTCCTTTCCTTCCCCTGGAAGGGAAGGAGTAGATGGCTGATTTTGTGAAATCCGAGTATTTCTGGCATGGGACGTGTTTGCGAAGGAAAAGGGAGAAGCAATCCCAAAACTTTTCAGTGGGAATGCTTCAGGCTGCACAATGGTGAAGCAAATCGGAATTACCAAGTGCTTACTGAACGTGACATGGCAAATTGGCCCTGCACAGGGTTCTTGCTTCAGGAGGAAGGCAAATGCTGTTTGCGCAATGCTCAAGATTTTCAACTGAATCAGCAGTTTCCTGGAAAACCTCTATGCCAGCCAACAAAATAAATATTATTGTTAAACACCAGCAATGACGTTTCTGAGGGGGCCTGTACGTTCAACGCTGCCACAGGCTGTCCTCCATCTCTAGCACAGGAAAAGCACCGGGCAGCTCGCTGCACTTGTGCAAGACACGAAGCGCACCCACCTTGAGCTTGTGCTCCTTCCTGTTGACGATGACGGCTGTGATTTGCTGGTCCATGAAGATGAGGATAGTCACCAGCAGTGCAGGGATGGCTGCTGCCAGGTACACCCACCACGGGTTCCCTCCAAAAGGTGGGATAAACCAACCCCTCTCAGGACTGGTTGGCTTTTAAGGGCAAGGAAAGGAAAGCTTGCATTAGAGCTGCAATAAAGGAGTGACGACATCCAAAGTACACTTGTACTTCCAGCAATGGGGCTACAGGGGGATACTTCAGGTTTGGGACAATTTCATGCTTCCTGTTACCAGCAACAAAAGGTTCAAAGTATGGAGGCAGGATTTAGGAGGTAAATCAGCCAACCAAAATGATGCTAATGAAAAGGATATCATCTGAGTACAACAGTCCTTTCCAGCTAGCTGACTACTCTCCTGTTTTGAGGGCAAGTAATTTTATTCAGGGCAGATGGGTGGAAAAGGGAAGCTCTTCCAAAGGCCACCAAACAAGCCAACAATGACATACCTTGAATTCACTTGGCACAATTAGTTTTGGTGTGTCCACACCTACCAGAGCATCTATTCCACAGAAAATCAAAATGGACAAGATAATGGCAAAGTCACTGAGGAGCTTCCGGGCCTGAAAGAGAAGTTGATATCATAACAGTAGTCAGCACTATGAAACACCATGTCAACCATGCTCTATTTTCTATGCGTTCCAGGCTTGCGTTTGGTGGTAATACAAACTCATCGTTTCTCCTTTCATACAAACAAAGGTGTGCATTTTCATGTCTGGTTCCATTTGCCTAAATGAGCCTTGGTGCTTCACCGCGTTGTCTGGAAGCCAAACAATTAAGCCCAAATGGAAGTATGAAAACAAGCCTAAGGAAAAAGAAAACTGCTTTTGTAAGAAACTCCCACATGAATTCTTCAAGGCAGGCTCACTGGTGTTACATGTGAGAGCAGCCAACAACCACTGCTATGGAGACGTAGTTCCTCTGCAGCAGTGTCTGAAGGGACTTTTCAGGATCAGCTTCCAATATTAACAGATATTGAACATCTACAAAGAAACCTAAAAAAATAGTGACATTTTTAGACATGTAAAACATGGCCTCCTTCTGTTTGTCTTCTGATCTCTGATTCTTTAGGGTCAACGTATTCGTGTTTTTCTATGCAGGGCCAGAGACTGCTTTTTTGACATGAGTTGAGCTTCTTGTGTTATCACAGGATTCTTAAGCTATGTGGCTTTAACAAAAAAATACTTGTTATCCCCAGCCTCTGTTCTTTTAATACAACTGATCTAGCAATGCAGATTAAAAAAAAAAAAAAAAGGGAAAGGGAAGAAATGGTATTTTACACTAGACAATGGAAACAGTCACAAACTTTCCTTTAGAAGATGGGAAGACCCAAAATTTCACAACAGATGAGATGTTCTGTATGACTGGCTGAGATTACATTGTTTTCTGTTCAAGTAATAAATCAACCTAAGCAGACAGGAAAACAAAGTAGGCTTCTCAGCTAAATCCTCAATAAGCCCTAAGAGTGCAATTCTCCTGAAGTCACTGGAATATGAAAACTTAAAGCTGCCACTGGTCAGACACTGAAGTTTAACTGGGCAGGACCCAGTGAGCCTGCCTGGAACTGTGTGAACTTTCCAGAGCTGTTGTTCCTTACAGGTTTCCCGGGTTCACATGGTTACAGATAAATTGAGCTGCATTCCAGCCCGGATGGAATTTTTTTACTTTTTATTAAAAATAATAGAAGTTCAATTGTAACACAGCAGAGCAGTAAACATTCATGCAGGATAAATCCCCATGTGTCAGAATGCCAAAAGCGGGGGGCAGGTGTCGGAGGGAAACATGGCTTTGGTCCACACGGAAACTGCCAGCTCACACGCGTGTTGTGGTAACTTTAGCTGGGGAGACAAAACAAGCTGATGTGCAAGAGAGGTGCGTGTAAGCCAGCTGCAACTCTGAGCAAAACCTTGTTTAGATCAATGCAGAGGTTCTTCAGGTCATCCTTATTTTGCACCTGATCCCCAGAGAAGAAAGGGAATTTCTGCTTTAGGTCCCTACCGAAACAGGTAGGCCAGGTGAGGACTGTTGCCGAGTTCACTGATTTTGCACTGATTTCTGAGTATTTCAAACACTACGTGATAACATCAAAGATGCGTCTCTGTTCTCCCTTTCTATACGGACAGCACTCTTACCCTCTTTTACTCAGTGGTAAAGCAGAGGGCTTCTTTTGTCCTCCCTGACTACTCCCTCTGGCTATAAGCAGGGAGACTTCCGACATAACCATTAATAGCCCCTTTTGGTCGTTTTGGTTCCTGCAGAAGGCCATGCATCCTACTCCAGAGTCAGTACAGGACATTAAGCTATGTATATGTCACTGAAAATGGCCAGCTAAAACTATACACGCCTGAAGAGCTCTTCCAATTTCTTAAGGCTGATGAGCTACATCATTGCATATCTCGGCTTGGAAGTGTTGCCTTCAGCACCTTTAAAATCACTACCACATCCCCACAACAGACTATGGCTCATTTGTCTCTTCTGCTGCCTTACCCATGCCCTCCAGAAGCATTGAGAGTGACAGCTATGTGATCCCAGACATACCTTGGCTAACCAGTTCCATGTTTTTATCTCAACCAATGCAACCTGGCTTCCCTGCTGTCGTGGTTTAACTCCGG